CCCATCTCTGCCTCCATATCAGGCATTGCTGCTTCTCTGGATAAGGTCCCAAATTCTGCTTGTGCTCTTCTCCCTTGATGGTCCTAGGGTGCTCTGTTTCTGGACTGTAAGGTTAACCACTCCCCTGTTTTTGTTACAAAACCTCTATCTTTAACAATTGTGACAGTCGCAATTAGTCATGATAACAATTATTCACTATTGAATCATACGAATCTTATCCCCATCTCTTCACCAGACCCATCTAGACAAGAGGAAAACTATTCAGTGGGGGCTCTTTCTTCCCCCTCACACTTAAACTGAACTCCCTCTTGAAACCTTATAAGCCAGTCGCTTCGTGCCTTTATCGCCCCCTCATTTTAGGTAGCCAATGTCTAAGTTGCCCCTCCTTATATATGCTGTGTACAGAGGGGATAGCATCAGTACTTGATATAAAGACTCCTTCCCTCTCTGTTGGTGTTTAGAGTTACTACCTCCCTGAGTATAGGTCACGTTCATCAAATTGTATCAATTTACCCTTGTTCCCAATATCCAAAAAAAAATTTGTTTCTTTTTTGTACTCTTCCTCTAGTAGAGTTCTGGTTATCAAGCCATCAAGACTAGGTCAAATGGGTACTGTCTTCAAGTTTGGTTGTTCTTGTGCATCTCCCCTTATTTCATATCAGCTGGATGCTTCACTCTCAAATCTAGCCCTCTGTGGCTATTTCCATGTCCATGGGCTCAAGTGTCCCCAGGTCTTTGGACCAACCAGCCTTTACTGTTTTCTCTCTCATCTCCGCATCAACAGGAGTCAATGGACTGTGGTTGAACTCAGCCTATTTTTCTCATTGCTGCCGTTCTCCCTCTTCCACTCACCAGTAGACCAATGTGGTCACCAGCAAGCTTACATGCCTGTTCATATGTTCCCTTTGAGTTTCAGTTAGAAGGGAGTTTGTCCTGAAGGAACTTGGTTGCTTGCCTTGATGGCTTCCAGACGAACAGTTTGCTTATTCTTGTAGTAGCCAGTCATGCTGACATTTTTGTTTGGGGTTTTTCATGATGATCTTTGAAGAGGTATCTTCTGTTGCTCTAACTGTTCCAAGCTGGTCTACTTATCCTTGCTAGTGGTAATGTCACACCTCATAAGGTTCTGGATGGGACTCAGAATTCCACCTA